GTTGACAGCGACATCACAGCAAGAGACTCATGATTTCAAAATTGCCCTAGTTGACGGCTAGCACCAACACCGTGGAACCCAAAGGAACGGCAGTAGCATTCCTACTAATTGACACAGGGAAGCACTGAAACTGTTAGTGAATATAAATAAGAGCGTCATCTTGAGAACAGACAAAGTGTCGGAAGTGGTCCTTATAGGTTGTACAGATTATTTCACTAAGATAAATGGCACAAGAAAGGGTCCGAGAAAGTTCCAGAAAACGGAAGGGAAAAGGATAAATTAAAACAGTAGAGGAGCAACTCACTAGAGCTCTGAAATCTTTAAAAGAGCTCAACCTTATCTCTAATGCAATTCCAGAACAGCTAAGACCAGCCGAGATCACTACTTCTCGACTATACGGGTTACCAAAGGTTCACTAATCAGAAATACCACTGAGATCGATACCCGGCATGAGTGCATCCCGGTTTCCTTCAGTTGCTTGATGGCTAGTAGACATACCTGAACTAGTTTGCCGAAGAATTGTCCGCTACCATCTAAAAGACGCACTCCAACTCATGGAACTAACTAGCTAGCAACATGCTGGAGAACTAACGATGGCCGCTCTGGATGTAACATTTTTGTTCACCAACCTTCCACTTCCAGAAGAAATCAAGTATTTGTTTGATTTCACAGCAGAAAACGAAAGTAATACCAGTGCTCCAATAATCATCCTGAGAGAACTACTGTTTTGGTGTACTTTCAATGTCCAGTTTCACTTCAACGGATAATTATACCATCAGACAGATGGAGTCGTTCTAGGGTCGCCTGTAGGCCTTATAGGCTGGTATATTTATGCCTAAGCTGAAAAATGGAAAACTTAGTGATATGATAGAAAGTCTACCAATCTAATGTTGATGTGCAGATAATATTTTCGTTTTAACTGATGGTCACATGCGGTTGGAGTCATTGGTGGGGGCTTATGATGCGGCTGACTTTCCATCGCAAGTAGAGGAAAGCAGCATTTTCCCTTCCTAGATGTATTTCTTGTAAGAAATGACGATGGAAAATTGCTCCATCGCTTATATCGCAAACTAACGTGGAAGGACCAGTGCACCAATTTTTCCAGCTTTGCACTTCTTGGGAGTAAGTGAAACCTAGCTTGCTCCCTAGCAGCTCACGTATGACTGATTGGCTTGAGAGAGAGGGTGAGTAGAGAATTAGGCATCTTAAAGTAAACACTTCTGGTTAACTGACATCCCAGATGTTTCCTTCAGAAGAACATAGCAGAAAGGGCAACTTGGCAGGCGTTAGCTAACTTTAAAGGGGAAGAATTGCACACCCAACTCCCTTTTAAAGAAGAGGACAAAGACAAGATATTAGTAAGACTCTTAAAAAAATAATCGCTTGCACCTTTCCGGCTGTCACGCTACTTTCCCGCTTCACCAGTCGATCACTTATTTCAACGAGCCTAAAATACAGGTTACTCGTTCTTACCTTCTCCATGCTAACTTATTCTTTTGCTTGCTTATGTTTTGCAGGCAGTAAAGATAGAACGACGCGCTACCATCACAAAGGATAAAAGAGCATAAACCAGCTTGGACGATGACGGGGAACAGAAAATCCATTACTAGTGCAATTGTGGTGCATCTTGAGGACACTGGACTTTACGTATACGTCGATGCTTTCAAATTAGTCTACATGGACTCTACAAAAGCACTGGAAGTCGCTCAAAAACAACATCTAGCAACAGAAGAACTGTAGCGGTAAACTACTCAGTCCATTGCTTTGTCCTCAAAAACATTTTCTTGAGGCACTCAAACTGCCCTGGCCGCGATTCGAGACTGACCTTGAAACTCAGCATGACCTGAACGCAGACCCCTTGGTTGCAACCGGAAATGAATAATCCCCGAAATCCCTGTTCACTGTTTCACTGGTCCCTTTCCCAACCACGGCATAACAAAATTTCGCGTCCTATCTTGCCTAACCTCGCAACACCAATTTGATGACCAACTTATCAAATTTTAAGGTACAGACACTGCTCATAATTTATGCTTTTCTAATCTATGATGTAACTGTATTGGTCACGAGGACGATGTTACCCAAATCGAGCTCGCTCGCTAATCTTGTTGTACACACATTATATATATATATATATATATATATATATATATATACTACTTACTATCAGTATGAGCGCTTGCACATGCAGCCTCGTTGTTCGTTGGGTTAGCAGTGACCCAGACACGAATAACTATGAGAAATCACAGTTGTGATTCATTTATGGGCTCTTCAATGAAGAGCATCTATTCACACTCCAGACGATTCAAATTAGATTCTAGTGAACGTATAACATCGGAGCGCACAAGTATGAAGACGGGTGGGCAGAGGAGTACCGGAAACCTCTACCCTCACCGCTGTGTTCACCTATTCCTCGTGATTTACACAGTAGTCATTTGGGAGTTAAAAATATGGAGGCTGAAGCTCGTCTAACTTGTTAATGGCCCATAATTTATCGGGATATTTCATGGTATGCAAGTCCGTTTAAACAGTGCGTACACACGGTACATTCGCATCCATCGAAGTGGACACCCTGGTTTATATCATGTGAGGTATGGGAAAGATTTCATGCTGACTATTATGGCTCTTTGTGGTTATCGACCCATACTCTGGTTGGTCAGAACTGTATTTCCGTACGTTTGCTGATGCGGATTTTATGACCAAAGCTCTACCTAAGAAGTTTATTTGTGAGGGTCTGCCAAAAGTGTTGGTTACTGACAACGACATTCATTTTATGACTCAAAAGGTGATAGTGGCTGAAAGATTTTGAATACAGACATTTAGTCACGGAGCCGGGACTTTCTCAGGATGACGGGTTAGCGGGCAACATTGCTTGCACGCTTAAAAGTGCAATCAGATCGACCAGTTTATCCACATTTCAGGAATTTTAAAGAGGAGTGGATAATGTTCTACTTCAATACAGAGATGCTGCCCAAGACACCGAATACTCAATTCCGGCAAAGTTCTTCAAGCCTCGGATATCACGTTTAAATTTAAGATGCCTGGAACCAGTTAAGTTGGTATATCGACGAGGCAGCGATCTATAATCATCCTCTGTCATAGTTCTAGATCAGCTTGGCATAAGGATGGTGAGAATTTTGGATATGAATCGCTGTTTACTGTGCCGCAGGCGTGTTGACCGAATTCCGTACAATGTTTCAGAACTTCCTGTCGACATTGATGCAAGAAATAAATCTGATTCCAATAAGGATGTGGCAACTGGTGATGCTGCTGTGCACAGACTTTCAGAACGCTTGATCAGTCTACCATGTCACAATTAAAAACACTTTCAAACTCATTCGAGCAGTATTTGGTGTGGTGTTTGAACATGAACTATATTTTTTACGTATCTGATTTCATTTGATAACTTTGGTCTTGAATTGTAATATTAATTAATTCCGATTCGTGGTCAAAAGTCAGTTTTGTTCACACTCCACTTCATTTTGAGATTATTGTTTCTGTTGATTCTATGAGACAACATTTCACAATAACCTATCGTCCGCTTTTGAAAATGGTTGTAAAATAATAAACGAAAACGATAAAAAGAAGATACTTGATCTTTTAGGCAAAGCAACGTGTTGTGGGATACATTTTCTCAGCTTTTACGGTCAGATTAATCAAAGAAATCGACCAGAGAAGACCGTGGAATTCCAGCCGCATCTATTCTCACTGAGCATAGAGAGAAGTTCGATGGCTGGCTTTTGCCAAGGAAGTATGTGAGAAATATTGCTTGTGATTGCCGCGTGAAAAAAGCGTACGGTAAAATGTGGTAGATAGAGAGAGAGAGAGGGAGGGGGTAATCGGTCAGTCAGTCTTAATTAAACTAAAAGCCAAGTAGATTTTTTGCTCACTTCTATCATATCTTGGGTATGCAGATTTGAGTTCCTTATGGGCCCGGTAGCTCTGCCAAGACATCTTATTTATTTTGGCCTAAGCTTGATATCTGCTTTTCTATATAGCCCCGAACTGGACTCGTACCCCCAGGCAGCACATTATCTAACTCCATCTCAGGCTTGGGCAAAACGGGGAAGCATTAGGCAAACACTTCATTGCAATGGGCTGATCGCGGACAAAAGTTTGTCATATTTGTTAGAAAAACCTACTTGGGATTATGGAATGTTGTGATTATTACAAGCACATGTATTTCTTAGTAATATAAGTCAAGTCAGAGTTGCTGATACATTATCGTTACTAGTATATTCATTATATTTATCGCCATCGGTGAATTCTCTCAAATTTGTTACTGGTAGAGTATTGGGTCAGTTTATATGTATAAAATAACCTCCGCCCCCATATAGAGGTGGGGTACTAGAAGAAAACGAGAAATTCTAAAAATAAAACTGGAAGATGAAAATTAAAAAAGGGACAGTCATTTGCGAAACAAAACTGGACGATGGACTGAGCCCAAGTTAGGCTCCTCTGGGCCCCTTTAGCGATACCCTTTGCCTCCAGTGGAACCACCCGTAATATGGTCGGTGTCTGCTCACTTGGGGCTTAGATGGGCCCCATACAGGCTGGCCGCTCGGGTGGGCCCACTCAAAGCAAGATTTAACTCAGTTCACTTGCTTCATACACAACCATTTAGCTGAACGCTTGCTGACAAGCGCGGCGGCCTTTCGATTTCTGCACTTCCACACCGTACGCAGGCTCTAGCAATATACGCCAAGCGCTTTCTCCACCGACTGTGTTCGCCTTCTCGTGGGCTGTAAAATCACCTCCCCGGCGATTATGGTGGCATGTTTCGGAGCATCTTCATGCCGGACGAGTGGTCAATTCATAAGGGAAGGACTAGCGAAGGAATATAATAAGTAAGCAGCGTGGTCAAGTTTGATCGATCTCACTTGCTGCTTGGGTACATGCAGTAAGGTTTTCTCAGTAATATGGACATAAACCGGAGGAAAAACTTTGAGTTATAAGCATTAACTACAAAATAACTTGTTTTTCTCAAAGGTATGCTCTCTTACCGGAAAGTCTACCGTTCTTTTTAGAAAAATCTCCTTAGTTTCGACACCGACATCATCACAATAGCACCGGTTCTTGAATAATAGGTCAAAGGCGTCACAGTCATAATACGCCAGCAGCTTGCCTCCGCATTCACACTTTTTGGACTCCCGCAAGTCAAAACCAACTGGACAACCTACAGTAGTTCACTATTCAGTGCAAAATCACCCGATGTACCTCGCAAGTAGCGAAAGAAATTTTCATCACATTTTTCACTCATAAGCACTTTCTGAAAGACGAACTCGTCGTTGAATAACAAAGGAAAGCATGGAATAAGCAGCTGAGACCGCTGCAACGTGTTGAACATTTCGACAACGAGATAGACATATTCACTCGCTGCAAGCCTCGTCCCTGGCGCACATATCTGTCGGAATGTAAATGCGTTTACCCTTTAAATCGCACCTACATGGTGCACTTGAATTTTTACAGTGCACCGACACGCTCCGAGGTTCATTTCTGGAAGATTAGTCAGTTTGAGTTCGTTCCATTAGTTGCGTTGTGGTGACAACCGTTACAAGGTCAAGGTCAGATCGGGTTCAGATCAGTTTGCACAAGACAGGTAATGGCTACGCCCTATTGGGCCTCCAGAACTCCTTCGGTGGTATGCGCGAGAGTTATGCATCTACCACTGCACGGCGCTTTCCGTCTTATCCGCGCTCACAGAGCCCCAAGTGCGCGAGACATCATGCATCGTGAGCAAACACTGAGACAGCACGCAACAGACGAAATCGTCGGTTACAATACACCTTATACGGACCATAGGGTTATCTTTCATCCATCCGGCGAACATACAGGAAACTCACTTCCGGTGACAATCTGGTTCCATTTATGATCTAGGGTCCCGTTGAAGGACTGGAAGGTCCTCGAGTCTATCAGTCCACTAGGCAGACTGTTCCCATGGCTCACTAATCTGTTGCCGAAGAAGTGCGATCTGGTTATCACTCTAGTTCGAACTTTTATCAGCTCCCTATCGTGCCCCCTTGTTCGGGAATCTAAGGCCATTTGGAATAGCCTATCCGGCCCAGACCGGAAAATCCCGTAGCGCGAACTGCAAACTGAACTGAACTGAAATGCACTACCCCAGTAAAGTGTGTCGTTGAGCTGCGCGAATTTCAGTTATTTGTGTATTATTATCTCTCTCGATGGACTATCACTACACGATGGGTAAAACGGGCTGCTCTAAACTGTGTGATTTTTTACTCTACAAGAAAGCTGTGCGACCTAGTGTAAAAGCCCTGCTTTGTGATGGATGTAAAGGATGGATGCTCATTCACTGCGCCAAAGTTCCCGCAGATAAATACGAGTAACTCGAACTATGTGAAAGTATGATTGTTAAAACCGAGTCTACTAACTGCGTTGTGACCGGGCCTCATCCCCACCAGGCTTTCTGCCAAAGCAAGTGCTCCCCAGCACGCCACCAAGGGAGACACGCAAACCAGGTGTGGACCCCTGGTTGTCCAGTGCCTCGATCACCAACCCAGTTCCTAGGGCCACTCACGAAAACAACAAAAGGAAGAACAGCACGGGGGGCGGTCCTCCACCTGAGACGGCAGACGATGTTTTGAGCCACGCACCGGCTGCCGAACCACCAACTCCACCGAACCTACCAGGTGACACTCAGGATGACACAAACAAGTAGAAGGAGGTTCATTCAATACCAAGGAGGGTTCCACCACCTCGTGAATGATGCTGCCTGGCCCTAAACTTCCTGGAAGCCACTGCATTGTCTCCCTAGGTCAGACTGGATCATGAAGATGTGCAGGACTGACAGCGACTGTTCGGTTTAGAACGGCACTCAGATTCAGCAAGCTTCAAGAGTCCGGAAGATCAAGGAATATGAAAGTTGTTCTTAGTTCTCAAGAGCAAGCGAGTAAGGTTCTGATACGATCCTACCGACTTAAGGGAGAGTCCGTTCGTCTACACCAAGATCTTTCTCATGAGGATCGTCAAAAATGAATCAGTCCTGTGCAAAGATTAGGGAGAGAAAAGAAAAAGGTGAAAAAGGCCTTCGCATCCAGGATTTTCATGTTGTTCGGAGGAGATTAAGATGCGCTGGCCACCACTACTAACGGCGAGCCCTCAGCTCTCAGCAGTGAACGATTTTCGGGCAGGGGACAGCCGGGCCGCGTCTGTCAAACTGCAGCAGACCATTGTCCGTGGACCACTGAAAAAGGGATGAATTGGAGGCATTTGTGCTGCCTAGAACCCCGTCTACCATTGCGCCTACCGAGACGTGGCTAACGGAGGATATTCGAGACTCAGAGGTTTCACTACCTGGGTCTTTGCTGCTTCGTATAGATCGAATTCGCACCACATGTGGAGGGGGTGTTGCCAAGTACGCCAAAAACGGGATATTGTGGCTATTCCGTAGCTACCACGCGTAATACGACCAGGCACAGCTTCAGAGCTACGCACGCGGATAGGCTTCAGCCCATCAGTATCGCCGCGGACAAGTCCGACAAAAGCCCCTTGTGATTGGCCATCTTCGAGTCTACCAATTACATTCTCTAATTTAACATATTTATACAAACCCGTTCTCCAGTGAAACTAAAGTACTATTTTGCAGCCTTGGTCTTCCTGCTGCTTTGGTTCACTTGATTCCGAGAGTGTGCAATTTCGATGCAATCTGTCAGCACAGCTCAACACGGTTATTACGGTCATCGATGCACATGCTCGACAAACTTGTGGACCAGCGTCTGTACGGGGAGGCGCTTTGGTCAGAGTGAGGTTTTCCTTTGGTGTCTACGTGGTGTTTGTGATCACCTGTAATAACTCGAAGGCCGAAATGCAAGGTATTCTGGGTCCCATGCGTCACCGGACGACTGACGGAGGCCTTGATGCTCCTCATAATGACTATGTATGGAGCGGATGCTACATATTCGGGGACATGCTATCCCATCGTCTACATGTAACAGAGTGTGATCTCGCCTTGCATCAGAAAGTGCAAGAGGCGGCCGGGGGTCAGGTGGATGGGGTATCCGTTCATGATCCAGTGTTCTCCTTGCCAACCTTTGGCATAGATGGAATCGATCTTCTGCCGCCATTGGGCTCCAGCGACCACGCGATACTAGTCATCTACTGGAGAAGCGGTGCATTCGTCTGTCATCATTCGCAGTGAGGGTCGAACTTTGGAGTGTACCATTTGTAACGGCTGGTTGTGGAAAATCCTCCCAGAAACACTACAATTTCATGTTTACTCGACCTCACTCGCTCATATGCACCAGCTGCGTTTTTTGATGCACTGCATGTTTTCATGAGCCAACCTCTGTTTGTTCGCGCCCAACGCTCTACCCTGTCATATCCTATTCTGGACCCGTGTGACGCACATGCTCTTTTCTCGCATGTCACAACTTGGTTCTCGCTTTCTGGGTCTGTGTGATCGCGTAATTGATGTTTGTGTTTGTTTTATGCCATTGTTCATCTAACTGTCTAGTAGTGTAGAATTTACAGATAATCACGTTCTGCCTTCGGGATCCGTTTTGAATTTGGCTACGCATTGCTCAGAGGCTTCCAACAATACTCAGCTTATAAGCTCAAGACGAGAAAACATAAAAGATGCCCAGAAAAGGATCGAAAGTATTGGAATCTGGACAGGAAGTAACGCGGTAAGCCACTGAGGAGGGTTTGGGTACTTTGGATTCTGTAGTTATTGTTGGATTACCTAGTCCTGCCAATGCCAATTGATGTATTGCTGAGAGTACTATCGAGTGCAGGAAATTTTGATTTATTTAAGTTGAGGATGTTGGATCTAGAACAGCAACTGTTATCAGTTAGGCAGCAGGCACGGGAAGCAGAGGAAGAGGATAGACGGAGGTGGCGGGAGCAGAAAGCCGGTGGCAACAATTCATCCCTCAGATCAGGACAAATGAAAACGGGAAACTACGCGCCTGCCGTCGAACAATAGACGCCAACACAACCAACTATCGATATGCCAAGAGAAGAACTGACGGCCCTCGACGGACGACCCCAGCACTACTGCAAGTTCATCAGACAATTCGAAACATTCGTCGGAGATAAGATAACCGATCGCGGACAAAGACTACCATACTTGACCCATTATTGTCGAGACTGAGCCACAGAAGCTATCGATCGGTGTACCAAGCTTGACCTGAAACAGGGCTACGCGCAGGCAAGGAAGAATTTGAAGGGCCTGTTTTGCTAGCCATTCAAGATGGCTCGCAGTCTAATAGAAGGCGTGAAGTCAGAGGCCAAAAAACAAGGGCTGACGTCTATGCAATGGCCGACTTAGTGATCATGAAGCAGAACTGTTCGATAGCCCTCGATAATTTAAGGCATAGGGCCGATCTTGAAAAAGTGCACGCTTTGGAGGGTGTGGTCCGCTGCCTCTCCCCCAAGCTTCAGGGTCATTGGGCGGAAGAAGTGGAACGCATAAGCATGAAAGACCATGAGGCTAACTTCGGGGATCCAAAAGAATACTTAGGCAGGAAAACCAGGACAGACGACAGTAGATTTAGTGGACTCATCCGTGATGGCAATCGGCAAAATAGGCTTAGCACCAGCCAAGCACAAAAAACTGCACCGAATCAAACGAAACATCAGCCTTGGATGAATTCCCACTCCATTTCCCCGGAGGTTACAGCTCATCCAATTCGCAGGACCTGCGACGCCAGCCACCAGCCAGTAGGATGTTTGAAGTCCATCAACGCCGCAGCGGACGAAAGTTGGGGAATGACGAGGAAGACGGGAACTTGCTTTATCTGCCTTAACACCACACACCGAGCGGCAGCTTGCCGAAAAAGAACCAGATATGGCCATGAGGGCTGTGCGGTTAGACTACACCGACTTCTACACCAGGCAAAGGGAACTACACCAGAGACAACACCAAGCCATGTGTGATTTGCTCAAAGTCACGGGCTGCCAGTAAACGAATACTGCTAGGAGTAGTGACCGTGTGAGTGATGACTGTAACGATTATTCTGACTGCGAGCAACGCGTAGCCAATTCAACACGAATCCCAAAACCAGACCGAGATTGATTCGTAGTTTCTACGTTACTGGATTATCAAGTTATACGCATATAAATATATACAGACCTCAACTGTACGGCCACAACGTCTAATAACGAGGACCAGAGTTCAACAAATGCCAATGTCAGGTATCACCATCACGGCAGTCCAAGTTCGAGTCAAAATTATGCCACTTCACGTGAGCAAAATATGAACAAATGTTGAAGTGTAGTGATTGATGCATGTTGTATTTGTGCCAGGGTCAATAAATAAGGAGGATAGTCTCAACAATACAAGTATATGACAATGTCTAGGGAGGATTTTCACGCATGTACGTTACACCGCCCACCATATCCTCCCATGAAATTGTCAACATCCGAGGAGTAAATAGGGGTACTGATTCGCCCTAACCTACCTAGGCCCTAAGTCAGTGCATACGCAGGTCGCTGTGGATTTCGTCTATCGTCGGCCAGTCGCAGAAACGTTTG